TACAGGCTGGTCGGGTAGCGGTTAACGATCCGCTCGGATACAATCGCGCTTACCACGCGGATCTGCCCCCGGATCCTCGATTATTCATAATCAGAATATTCCGACCAATCGGCCGGGCAGCCAATCGAGACCGTCTTTGATCAAAGATGCTCCCCTGGCAAGAACTTCCGAGTCTTGGATCGATCTAGAGTATTCTAGAGGGTGACTCGTGCGGGCGAACCTGCGAACCGGTGCGTCCTCTGCCCGGCTTTTCGGTGCCGGATTGATTCGGATCGAACGCGGAGGGGGTGGAGGCCGCAATATCTCGGGCCCGAGTGTCTCTCGAGTCGCTGGATCGAGCTGGCTAGAAATGAAAAACGGGGAAAGACAAAGCAAGAAGCGGCAGGATGAGAGAAGCGTGGCGAGGCGAGGCGAGGCGAGGCGAGGCGAGGCGAAGCGAAGCGAAGATCGCGCGTATTTTCTTTCGTCGGGGATAATCTACTTACTCTGGAGCGGGATTTCTCCAGCGTTGCGTTCCAAACCACGCCATCAGGCATCGACCGCCCCTGGCCTGAAACATGCCAAGCACTCTAATCAATTTCGCTGCGACATGTGTGCGCGCACGGAAGGAAACGCGACGACCGGGAACGAACTGGAGCCGCGACTTATGAAATACTCGGGTACTCGAGTTGCCCGCGATATGTTCGGCTAGTAGAGGTGTACGGGTATTCTCCCGAGATTTCAGATTCGGTTCGGGATTGAAAAGAATCGGATGGGTACCCGAAATATGTAGGTACCTGGGCAACCCAACATTTTTTAGTACCTTATTGTTAGTGTGAATAGTAATATTGTAGTAATGTCTACAGTGTAGTAATAGATAATGATAATAACCTACTGGGCAGTAGATAATAATAATATTTATATCGTATTATAGATATTATTAACATCAAGGTACCCGAAATTTTCAGATTTTTCGGGTATCCGTATGCTTCAGGTACTCGCACGAGCCTGCCAGATTCTTTTTAAGGCCGAGTACTCGTGATTTCGACATTCCTACTCGGTGGTTACCTTGGTTTCATGAGGTCACCTAGTACTCGGGTACTCCAATATCTCGTAACGTTTTATAACTGGCTACTAGTGCTGTTGGTATCCGACCCACTGGGACTTTCTACAAAAATATGAAATACTCGAATACCTGGGTAACACAAGTAGGGTACTTGAATGGAACATACTCAAGGATTTGCTATATACTCGGATACCATAGGAGTACTCGAATTAATTAGAATAATAGAAGCATTAGTAGCCAGTTACAACACCTTAAGAAATAGTCGAGTACTCGGGTGTCCATGAGATACCTGGGTAAAGCAGACATATCCGGATATCTTATGAAATATCCGAATATCCGGATACTTGAGTATCTCATATAATTTTATAACTGATTATTGAAGCTACCAAGACCTATCGAATACTCAGATATTCGATATTCTCAGATAGAAAGTATTTACTAAGGTATACAGAATATTCCCGAGTACGTTTTACTCAAGTACTCTACCTGTATCACCCTACAATTTACGTAATTCATACCTTTTGTATGAAATTATAAAAATAAGACAATGAATTATTTGAAAATAAAACCCGGCGGATCGAACACTAATACTTCCAGTAACCAGTAACAAGGAAGTAACAAGTAATCGGTAACAAGACCTCATGAGATACTCGGGTACCTGAGTATTCGACTGCGTCGTCAGATACCCGAGTAATCTCGCTCTAATCTGGTACCTCACGGGTAATCCAGTTACCTGAGTATCTCGTAAGTCACAACTCCACCAGATATCTTACGGATAATCCTGATACCCGTGTATCATAACGTAGAATTCTACCCGATACCTCACGGGTAATCCGAGTAGCCGGGTACCTCGTAGATCCCAACTGCTCCGTATATCTCACGGTTAACCCTGGTACCCGAGTATCATAAGTCACGACTCCACCGAGTATCCCACAAATAATCCAGGTACTCGAGTATCCTAAGTCAGAATTCTACTAGATACTTTACAGGTAATCCAGGTAGTCGGATATCTCAAGTCTCGACTGAACTGTGTATCTCACGGGTAACTCTGGTACCCGTGTTTCATAAGTCAGAATTCTACCAGATACTTCACGGGTAATCCAGGTAGTCGGATATCTCGTAAGTCTCAATTGTACCGTGTATCTCACGGATAATTATAGTGCTCGTGTTTCATAAGTCAGAATTCTACCAGATACTTCACGAGTGAACCACGTAGCCGGGTATCTCGCAAGTCCCAACTGTAGCGAGTATCTCACGGGTAACTCTGGTGCCCGTGTTTCATAAGTCACAGCTCCAGCAGACATCCCACGACTAACTCGGATACCCGACTATCATAAGCCAGAACTCTACTAGGTATCTCATAGACCCCGAGTAAAAGTAGCAGCTCCAGTCCGAACGACGCTCCGTCCCGGCCGCGCGTGTTGGTTCGGGGGATTCGATCGCGTCTCTCGAGACCGACGTTTACACTTATTATGTAAGCAGCGGTACAGTACCGCTAACTTCGGCTAGATCGTGCATATTTCAGCAAAGTGCTGCCACTCGAGACTCGCTCGCGTTTTTTTCCCAGCAGGAATCCCTTCAACCGCGCTTACCCGATGCTCGAGAGTCGCCGACAGCTCCGCTCCTCCCTCAACCCCCAGTTTCCCCCGACCCGTCCCTCCACATCCCCAATCGACGGTACGTCTACCGCCGCTCGCTCACCCTGTCCCTATCCTTGCGCCTACTTGCTCAGCAGAAAACACCGGCCCTCGCGCATGTACTTTTCATTTGCCGGTCGGGTCCGATGCGCCGCGCCATGCCACGCCGCGCCGCGCCGCGGGCGCGAATCGTTTCTCCCCCATTGTCGACGGGAGACGGGACTTTCCCGAGGAGTTTTCGTCGATCGAGTCCCGGCACGGCACGGCGCGGCGTAGCCTGGAAAATCGACGGCTCTGGGGGAGTTATGAAAATTTTCAGCGGACGCAGCAGGGACTCGGACGCTGGTCTACGAAACGAACCCGCAAAGGGTACCTTTTCCTTTTTCCACCCTAGCCATCAGCCCCGAGTCACCTATCTCTCCCTGTGTTTCCCCTGTTTCTG